ACTTTCCCAAGCTATGGATGGTTCAAGTATTTCAACGCAAGAGAAATTACTTTCTTCTGGTTTATTACAAGATCCACAAGTGTTGGGCATGTTGCAACAGCAGTATTTGTTGCAGTTACATTCCCAAGCGCCTGTTCCAACACAACAAATGACATTGTTGGATAAGCTCTTGTTGCTGAAGCAGCAGCAACAGAAACAGGAGGAGGAGCAAAGTTTGTTAAGGCAACAACAGCAGCTGCTTTCCCAGGTTATGTCAGAGCATCAAGCTCGACAGCATTTTACTGAGCCATCTTTTGGACAGATGCAGGCTTCTGCGGTGCTGAAAGGGATAGATCCTTCCCGGCTTCAGTCATCACAAGAAATGTTTCCAGTTGGTACAAATGTGCAAGTTCCCAATACGCAAAATGAACTCACTAGTAGTTATATGACTTTGCCTCCCCAAGGTACCCAAGATATTAATCATAATGTTAGTGAGGGAGCATCCTCAGTGTTACCTCATCAAGTGCTTGAGAATATTACTCATCAAAGTAGTCTGGATGTTAATATGGCAGCACCAATTTCTATTCAGCAGGAGTCATTGCCAATGTCAACAAGTGTTGAGAGCTCACCTTTGCTTGATGTGATGATCAAATCTAGAGAGGTGTCCCTTGCACGGGACATACCTGGATCTGACTTCCTTCTTGTGAAAACCCTGGAACGGGCAGCTGAAAACACTTTCATAGCTGACGGATCTGCTGGGGTTTCAATTTCTCAGGGTGTTGCAGATTCTTTGCCATCGTTGGGAGCTTTCGAGAAAGATGTACATGAGCATATTAAGGATGTGAATGTTCAATCAGGCAATCAAATTGAAGAACAGCAGATTGAAAGGGAAAAATGCAATGATGAGGCTCCTACAATAGTTGAAGCAAAGAACGTTGAAGTAAGAGGGCAAAGAAAGACTTCTGAGAAGAAGTCCAAGAAGCAAAAATCTGCCAAGGCACAGTCTTCTGGTGATCAAGCAAAGGAGCATCCAATGCGCAGTCCTGAAGCTGAAAAGCCTGTTGTTAGCGACACAAAATTGGAGACGAGAGGCAACCAAGGCAGTAAGTCTGTAATTGTTACAGCAGAGGCTGTGGAATCCCAACAAGCTGAAAATCTAGAACCTGTAAAAGTTTCTGGAGGTGATAAGGAACCTAATGAATTCAGGGGTGATTCTAAGTTAGTTGAGTCTGTTTCTGGGCAAAGTACTCAAACACAGATTTGGCAGCGAGGTTGGAAACCTGCTCCTGGTTTTAAGGCGAAATCGTTGCTAGAAATTCAACAGGAAGAACAGAGGAAGGCATGGACAGAAGTGATTATACCTGAGGTCATCATCAACTCCCCCAGTTTGTCAACTCCTTGGGCCGGGGTTGTAGTCAATTCAGAACCAAAAATATCTACAGAAACTCCGGTAGATGCAGGTATTCATGACTTAAATGTTGGGAAGCCCAAAACTTCTCAAATCTCAAAGGGCAAGAAGAGCCCGCTGCATGATTTATTAGCAGAGGAGGTTTTGGCCAAGTCTAGTGAAAGAGATGTTGAAATTCCTAATGGTGTATCAACTCAGCATCCTTCACAAATTATGCCCACCCGTCCAGAATCTGTAGATGACGATAACTTTATTGAGGCAAAAGACACCAAAAAAAGTCGCAAAAGGTCAGCAAAATCAAAGGGTGTTGGAACCAAGACTTCAGTATCAGTCACAGCTGTAGATGTGCCTGTTAGTTCAAGCCCCACTGAGAAAGTCAAAAGCTCCCGTTCTGTACATCAGGACGATGAAGTATTGCCTGCAATTCCATCAGGGCCTTCATTGGGAGATTTTGTTCTTTGGAAAGGAGAAACAGCTAACCCTGCTCCTTCTCCAGCATGGTCTACGGACTCTGGGAAGATTTCTAAACCCACATCTTTAAGAGATATCCAAAAGGAGCAGGAGAAGAGGGTTGCTGCTGCTCAGCACCAAAATCAGATTCCAACTCCTCAGAAATCACAGCCACCTCAAGTCACCCGCAGTAGTGCTCCATCATGGTCACTTTCTGCATCATCTCCATCTGAGGCTGCATCTCCCATCGCGACTAATTCCCAGGCTTCTCAGTCGAGAAATAAAGTAGAAGATGACTTATTCTGGGGCCCAATTGATCAAGCAAAGCAAGAAAATAAGCAGTATGATATTACTTCTTTGCTTTATTTTATATTAATTCATCGTGTGGTTCTGTCCGCTTTATGTTACCTTGAGAAGGAAAGCTTTATGAGCCTCACTTAATTATATTGTCGGAATGCATATACATGGGGTTGGCTCACATCTTTTGCATTTGTAAGGAACTAATTTGACCTAGTTTGACCTGGAGCTTGTGTTTTTGTTTGTTTTTCTGTGAGCAGGGCAGATTTTCCTCATCTTGCAAGCCAGGGCAGTCGGGGAGTGAAAATTACTCCTGGTAAAGGAACTTCAGCTGGTTCATTAGGCGGGCAGAAATCAGTGGGTGGAAAAGCAACTGAGCGATTACTTTCATCCTCACCGTCTCAGACATCTATGAAAGCAAAAAGAGATGCCATGACCAAGCAATCAGGTAAGCAGTCGTGGTACTGTTGATTTTCTGTCAGAAATATTTCTTGTCACGTACTTACGTTGTTTTATTTTCCTTTGCAGAGGCCATGGGCTTCCGGATTGGTGCAAGAACGAGTGCATTAGGCTTATTGGCACGAAAGGTATTTTTGACCTTGTGACCTGCATAATATAATTAAATAGTGGGCAAAATCCATAGAACCAGGTGTTTTTGCTATAATGATTTTGCTTTCTTCGTAGCTTAAAAAGGTGAATTGATAGTAGTCATTGTGTTGGTCCAACTCCATTCCTTGTCGTGATATTCAGTTTCATAATTGGATTACTGATCTGAGAATTATAAGATTTGCAAGAATTTGTTCAGAAGAATACGTCCTTTCAAAGTCTTATTCTTGGCTTTGTCATATATTTTTCTTTCCAGATACGAGTTTCCTTGAGTTTTGCCTGAAGCAATCCAAATCGGAGGCTGAGTTGCTTCTGAAAGAGAACCTAGGGTCGTATGATCCCGATCACGAATTCATTGACAAATTTCTCAACTACAAGGAGTTGCTACCTGCTGATGTCCTTGAAATTGCGTTTCAAAAAGGGAATGACCAAAGGGTCGCTGGGTTGAGCGGTAGAGATGTGAATTTGTACGGTGCAGATGTTGGGGATGTGGACCAAGACGCGTCCTCGAAAGGGGTTGGCAAGAAGAAGGGGAAGAAAGGAAAGAAGGTTAGTCCGGCAGTCTTGGGATTTAATGTCGTGAGTAACCGCATCATGATGGGTGAGATCCAGACACTGGAAGATTAGGGAGGATGATGGAGTTTGAAGATGAGAAGAGGCAGTTGTAAATAGGTTTTTTGGCTTTTGGACTGTCATTTCTTCTTCTTCTTCTTCTTCTAATGATGTAGTAGTAGAGGTAGACTTGTAGTAGTAAGTTCCAGCCAGCCGACAGCAGCAGTGCTAATTTTTCTGCTCGAGCGATTTTGTGTAACCTTAAACTATCGTCATGTTTTTAATCTTGTCGCTTTTTGAGATCCTGCGGGAGAGTTATATTTATTCCTCAATCGACGTACTCGAGTTTCTGGTTTTTTTGTTCAATTTGATTAATTTGAATTGCAACTTCACCGCCGATTTCTATTTCTACTTGCTTATTCGAGGAAATTTTTTTAACTCAGCCGGAAAATTGAGTTGTACGAATAATATAGGAAATACATTTTTACAGTAGGCCGGTAAGTTTGTGTGATATGAGAGTGATTTTTATTTTTGAGTTTGATATATACGTTGAATTCATAAGTATTACGAAATAAATAACAAGCTTACAATATTGTAATAATAATGTAATACGAATCAAACTCAACGTGCTCTTTTCTAAACCATTGTGGAATGTTTGTGTTGAAAATCGGATGTTTATGTTGTGGGAGTCAAATCTAATAGAAAAACTACATTTTGCGACTGGTTCTAGATGAGGGTTTATAATAATTTTCTAACGAAATAGTTATTGTAAGACTAAAAAATAACATTTTTTACCAAAACTGTGGACGAAATTTAGAAAAATAACTAAAATTTAAATCACAAATAGAATTATAGTCATCTTTTTAGGTTTATGATAATTATAATCAAAAGTTGATATAAAAGTACTAATATATCCTTAATGACTTACTAAAACATAAAATAATTAGACATTTTCTCGTGTCGGGTCAAACCGGTTGGCCAAATTGACGTTGGCGAAGGTACTAGAAATTTAGAAGCGACGAAGAGGCTGCGGTTTTTTACCGACGAGGAGAGTGGCGATTCCGACGACTGGCGACGAGAATCGAAGCTACAAAGATTAGATTAGGCACCTCCGACTCGTGGCGGCAGCCATTGAGCTTCGCGCTGTTGCAGCTCGTTTTGGCCATGTTGCAAAGGGACTATTTTGAGCGCCCAAATAAAGAAACAAAACTGCGAATTTCAATTGGGATTTTTGGAGAGAGAGTCCCAGTCAACTTTTAAAGTACTTTTATATCAATTTTTTTTGTTAGAATTATAATAAATTTAAAAGAGTGGCCATAATTTTGTATGTAGTTTAAATTTTAATTATTTTTTTAAAATTTTCCAAACTGAGGGACAGTTCTTTCGTATTATGTGTCATTAAATACTTGAACATTGGATGATCTACATTTGTTTAGATTATTGCTTTTAGTATGGTTTCGTGAATCTAGGCTATCCAATACTAACATTTAATGTTACCTAACGTTGAAGTGGAACCCAAAACTGTGAAACTCATGCTTTTTTAACGATTTAGCAAATTCCTACATCTACCATCATAAAACTTTTTCTTTTAACTTTGACCGCAAAACCAGTTAAAACGCATAAATAGTTCACAGTTTTTGTGAAAAATGATATATATCAGTTTGCTGAGATTTTTAACTCGAAAATGAACACAATTTTCACACTTACAGGACCGGAAAATTTACTGTTTTTATTACTCTTAATTAAAAATAAAATATACTAGTAAATCAAATTCCAATTAATTGGATTTTCTAATGTCCCAAGTTCCCCAACTAATGGGGTTCACAGGAGGACAATTCAGAGACAAGTTTTCATATATGGATCTTTTTCTTTTTATCTGAGAAGGGGATTGACCTGAACCCTAATTATGTATAAACCGTGCACATAGTCCCGGCGCGTGTTCACTGTTCTCCGACGAAACTTTAAGCACTGAGCTCGACGGCGAGCACTTGAAACGGAGAATTCTAGCCACTACTTCGTAATGTAGTCACCTTCTTGCCTTCATCCGCTTTCTTGGATCTCTTCTTCTGCATTTCTCTTATGTTCTGGACACAATAACAAACACAATTCGTCACAAATCGCAATCACATATTACCAAGGCTCGTATACGAATTTGTGAGCTCCATTTTCGACAAATTTACAACAGTTATCACAACTTGGGTTGATGTTATAGAGAGGTTCACGTTGTTCGTGCACAAACAAACTCAATTTCATATTTCTTTTACATGACGATATTATATTCTAAATTATTCTAGCCTATCAGAATGAGGATTCAAACTCCGGTGCAAGAGATCTCGATCATCTCACCTAACCTACATCTACTATTCAAGCTCTTGAACTTGTACTAATTTTTACTCAAATTGTTTAGCTCACTAAACTTTCGTGGCTAAAGCTAATCTTGCATCATCAGAGAGCAAGCAAATCATCAAAAGAAACCTAAAGCCGAAGGACTTTCATAGAACGGGTCAACAGAAGCGAGAATACAAAAACAGAGTAAAGTAGTTTAGCAGGAAATTATTTGAAGTTAAAAATACTTGGAAAGATCCTCTCCATATCCCTTCCATCTAAGCCTCCTAATCAACAAATCTAAATCCTTAAAATTGGATCCAATGATTAAAAACAGGAGGCCATTAAAGTTATAATAACTTTAACCATTAAATCAAATTTCAAGATCCGAATTTATCAGATAGAAAGGATCTAAAGATGATCCCTTTCCAAAAAACTTTACTAAACCCTCAATAAGAATTTAGTAGAGAAATAATCACACGTGAACATACGAGAGAGACTTGATTATACGAATTAGAGGGTATACTAACCGTTGATTGAAGTGGGATGGGATCAAGAACGATGGAGCGGATGGACATCTTGGCAATCTCCGAAACGGCGGCGTCTCGAACGGCAGCAACGTCGCTGCTCAAATGCTCGTACGCCGCCTCGAAAGCCTCCTGCCAAAACAGCGGCAGTCGACTCGTGCTGCTGCTGCTGCTCTGCGTGTACAAATCCCACATTTGCCTCACTACCTTCTCTCTCTCCTCCACCTCCTGCAAATCATTAATCCAGTATTAATCACTAATTAATTTGTGTAATTCCAATTCCACAATGATTAACAGAGAAATTAAGCAAAAGGGTTAGTCTCCCAAGTACGAGAAAGATGTAAACTTAAGTACTAGAATGTCGAGATCGTCGAAGGTCGGGATATCGAGGTCGTCGGAGAGGTGGGATAAGTTGCCGGCGGACCATTTGAGGGTGACGCACCCCGTGAACATTGACCAGAAAGCGAGGAGGAGAATCGCAGCTAAAACTGAGATCTTGTAGCGATTCTTGTCGAGAAAGCCTCCGGCTTTCGACGACAACGACGACGAGGTGTCCTTCCTGATCACCGTTGATGATGGGATTGTTATCAGTGTCGGTGAGTCGTTGTCCTTCATTTTTAGAAGATGAAGTTTCACGGTTGAGCTCTCTCTCTCTCTCTCTCTCTCTCTCTCTCTCTCTCTCTCTCTCTATATATATGTGTGTGTGTGTGTGTATATGGGGTTAGGGGAAAATTGAACTTGTGACTTCAGGTTCAGATTAGCGACAAGACGATAGGGTGGAGAAAAAGAAGTTTGAGATCTCGAGTTTAACTAATCAGCCAACTCATAACAAGGCAATTTGAGATGAATAAAATCGAATTAGAAACCTCAAGTTGTGGTAAATACTCTTGTTTAATTGAACAACAAGTTCCTAGCAAGACGATGCGAGGTGAAAAAAATCAGACTCAAACTCTCAAATTTGGCGATGAATGCTTTTAGTCAACGGAACGAGACACGAGACAAGCTTTGAAATTGGATTTTGATGTGGGAAGGGAAGGGAAATCGTGGAGTGCTTTGCGAGCTACCATTTCCGAAACTTCTGAATGGTTTTGTGGCGACAGCACCCAGCAAAGTATGTGTGGATGCGGGGTCCACTTGGACGCGGGAGGGGTATCAATTAGGGCTATGATATTCACCCATCTCATTTTACTTCTCATACATCTTTTTAATTTTTGACCGTCGGATCAGATAAATTGAAGAAGATCAACGGACAGAAATTATTAAAGGATGTGTGAGAAGTAAAATGGGATGTGTAAATAGCACACCCCATCAATTATCATCTGTCGTTTATTTTTCAGTGCGCTCTGTTTATTTTTCTCACTTAAATTTCTTTTAATTTATTCAATTTAAGGATAGAAATGCTCAACGGATTATTGTTTATTACTGTTTAATTAATTAAAACACCGCTATATAAATAATGCATTATAGTCAATAGCATAATTTGTTTGATAAAGAACATGATTTGTGTTAATTTTACATATATAAAATGTGACATCCCACATCGCCCAGGGGACTGATCCTTATATGTATATTCCATCCCTACCTAGCACGAGGCCTTTTGGGAGCTCACTGGCTTCGGGTTCCATGGGAACTCCGAAGTTAAGCGAGAAGGGGGCTAGAGCAATCCCATGATGGGTGACCCACTGGGAAGTTGCTCGTGAGTTCCCAAAAACAAAACCGTGAGGGAATGGTAAGCCCAAAGCGGACAATATCGTGCTACGGTGGTGGAGTCGGGCCCGGGAAGTGATCCGCTCCTGGCCGGGATGTGACAGTTTGGTATCAGAGCCTATCCCTGGCCGGAAATGTGCCGACGAGGACGTCGGGCCCCTAAGGGGGGTGGATTGTGACATCCCACATCGCCCAGGGGACTGATCCTTATATGTATATTCCATCCCTACCTAGCACGAGGCCTTTTGGGAGCTCACTGGCTTCGGGTTCCATGGGAACTCCGAAGTTAAGCGAGAAGGGGGCTAGAGCAATCCCATGATGGGTGACCCACTGGGAAGTTGCTCGTGAGTTCCCAAAAACAAAACCGTGAGGGAATGGTAAGCCCAAAGCGGACAATATCGTGCTACGGTGGTGGAGTCGGGCCCGGGAAGTGATCCGCTCCTGGCCGGGATGTGACAGTTGGAATGGTAAGCCCAAAGCGGACAATATCGTGCTACGGTAGTGGAGTGGGCCCGGGAAGTGGTCCGCCCGGGCCGGGATGTGACAATTTGGTATCAGAGCCTAACCCTGGTCGCGTGTGTGCCGACGAGGACGTCGGGCCCCTAAGGGGGGTGGATTGTGACATCCCACATCGCCCAGGGGTGATCCTTAAATGTATATTCCCATCCCTACCTAGCACGAGGCCTTTCGGGAGCTCACTGGCTTCGGGTTCCGTAGGAACTCCAAAGTTAAGCAAGAAGGGGGCTAGAGCAATCCCATGATGGGTGACCCACTGGGAAGTTGAATAAATAAATAGGTAAACGGTTATCCGTTTATAACTGCGGTTAATACTCATACTCAACCATTTAAATTTCACGGGTAAACGGTTATACCCATGACCATTTATTTATCTAAACGGTTACCTATAACTGTAACCGTAAAATTTAAATGGACGGGTGACCGCAGTTACCCATAACCGCGGGTATTTTGCCCATCCCTAGGTATCATCTGTCGACTACACAAGTCATTTCCCACCGTCACGACACCCGTTTGTTTGGCATTGAGGGCCAGTTTTAATCACCGACTCTCATCTCGAATGTGATCGTGTATGCGGAATTCGATTGAAATATATAGTCTTGTGTTATTGTCAGAAACATCCTACAATTTGTGTGGTTGGCATACGTACTCAAGTTTTCCTATCGTTTTTAGCCTCCATCACGATCATGGTACTATGATTTTTTTTTTGTGAGAACCATGTTATTGCTAGTCTGGTCCAACGTTCATACTCAAGTTTTTCTCTCGTTTTTAAGCCTTTTATGTATGGTACTTGTGAATTTTATTAAGAAATATTTAGATACCATTAAATTATGTCAACTTGTGATAGGTGAACTTTTGATATTGTGTTCATTGGTCAATTGATCATGATTAGAAATAATTATATAATTAGTTCCAAGAAATACTAAAGAACTTATACTAGATTTACCAAATCATAGTTACTATCCCCTGTAAATTTTTTATTTTTTATTTTTTAGTAGTCCCTATTACACCTAAGGTCAACTTCAATTCACCAAACCAAGGTTCATCTTGTGCAGTGATTGTGAACTAGATATTAACTAGACATTTAATGTATCAATCTCAACTCTATCTTTCGTAGGATGCATTCCCATCTGTGTTGCAACTGGATTCGATAAGCTATGTGCCTAGTGCACCCTTTGGTCCCCTAAAATGGGGGCATGCCCTCTCAAATGGGGCAACATAAGAGGGCTTAGAGAGAGATAGGCAGAGGTAGCTTGTTTACAACTTAGTGATTCCAGATTTTGTACCTCTTGGGAAACCTTGATCAAATAGAAGCGAAGATTTTCGTGTTTTTTTAGCTACAAGTGAAGCTTTCTTATCTTATCCAAGAAATTACCTTTCGCAATGCAAGTCTTTTTTTATACAATCTATATTACGACACTAAGATAGACTAAGAAAATAAAAATAAAAATTTGAATCCAAAACACAATAAATTAAAAAATTAAACTCCTAACTTGTAGAGCAATCTACCAGTTACAACCCTCACAAAATCTTATTCTCCCTCCATCTTTTTTTTAAATTCCAAGTAAGAAAGAATGCATACAAAGACAATCTTTACTTTAGTGGATGTGGACGTACCTTGGCCTCACTCCTCCATTGTTGACTGTAAATATAACAGATAGATTAGACTCGAAAACAAACGTGAGTAGGACCACCGATTTGACATCTAAGCAACGACATTAGCCTAATTTAATTAGGACCGCCGACTCGCGAGTCGCATATAATAATTAACCGACAACAAACCACACTTAAATAAAATCATTTCTTTTTTTTTTTTTTTTTTTGTCAAACTCGAATAAAACCATTTAATAGCAACAAGTGGTCTAGTGGTAAGAAGACGGATTACGGCTCGTTAATAGATAAAAAAATGTGAAAGGTCCCAAGTTTGATGTTCCGAGATGATGAGTCTGTTTTACTATGACCACAAATATGATGAAATTCTCTATAACCTCTCTGGATCGGAAAAAAGTGAACCAGTTGTCCACTTTTTGAAAATAATAAAAAAAAAAAAAAAAACCATTTAATTTCAGTTTCTAATTCGTAATTAGGTTCACCAACGTTATTCGTCACAGGGCCGGAACTAACAACCCACTCATGCTTTAATCAAGGCCGACATAGCGTTTTAAGTAGCCCATTTAGGGAGGGATATGAATGACTCAACCCATAACTTTGATATTTCTTTAAGCCCAACAGAAGAATTTTAAAAGAGGAAACTCCCTAAATTGTTCTATATCCTTATTACCAAACCGATATTCTCCATTAATATTATATTGAATTGAAGAAATGATCTCCAACTTTAACTATGATCTCTTAGCTAAAAATTTGTGATCATAAGTTCATACAACTATAGTCCTTCAATTCCTCAAAGCTTTCGTCAAAAGAAACCATATTTGAAGAACCATTGCTATAATTACATTACAATTAAAAGACTATTGCTACAATTTTTTCATTTGGTTCTTCATATTTGTCCTTTAATTTAACTTCACTGGGACGTGATTCATTTTAACTAAAAATAAAAGAATCATAAGTGCATAGTTTGATGAAGTAAAAAACTAATGGTATTTTTAATTGGAAGACAATTGCTCAAATTAAGTTAGATTAAACCAGCCATTGCTACATTTCCTCATCATTTTATTAGCTCAATCTCTGTCGACATAATTATTTGTTCACCGTCAATTTTATTGATATGTATTGTCAAAATGTCAACATTTTCGAAAGGTTACTAAAGCCATTTACCAATGTTTAATTACCATCATATGCAAGTGAGTTGTAGCTCTATTAATCCGTGTTACCATCATAATGTAAAGTATCTTACTATTTGTTAAAAAAAAATGACAAATCATATAAATTCCAAAATGTTGTAAAATCGACAGTATATGTAATGTGGAATAAATAAAATAAGACACTATTCACAAGTTTCCTCTACCGTTTGTGTGGTTGGTGTACGTGCTCAAAGCAATAGTGATGCTTTCATTTACCCTCATAATGTACTCCAGTGCTCAAAGCAATAGTGATGCTTTCATTTACCCTCATAATGTACTCCAGTCACACTGACTGTAGAGGAAGCTCATAAATATTATATCATTTTTAATTTATTCCACTGATTTTACAACACAAAAATGTATAAATAAATCAAAAGTTGAAGAAATCAAATTTTTAGGGCGCTCAGAAGTGTTGCATATGATATCACTGTTTTAATCTCATATGTCCAGACATATATTAGAGCAACATCATCACTGCACTGACTCAGGAAAACATAATCCAAACAATTAAACTACTAAATTACTAATCAAACGCAATTAACTCACACATTTCACTTCTACTCACTATTAACTCAATTTTAATACAATTTAAAAACTAAAAACAAATAATCCTCAGAGACAATTCCACATACGTGGAAATTGCAGACAATCTACACAGCATCAGATTCTGTCCGCCCGTCTGCTTTTCCTCATCATCGAAACCATTTTTAACACCATAACAAAACTGTCACTAAAAATCCACAAAAAGAAAAAAAAATACTAGTTTGATTAAAAATCAATAAAATCTGGCAAAGCTTCAGATAATAAGCGGAGATTTTGTCCACATTTATTTCGGTGTGTAGTATAAGTGATAATGTTTTACATCATACGCTTTGCCCTTCTATTTCTTCCCAAAAATAAAATTAAATAAACCAAAAAAATAAATAAAAAGATAGAAAAATGGCATCAGATAATAAGCGGAGTTTATGTCAACACAGAAGATTCAGTATATCAATAAGCGGAAAAGATTATTCATCATTTGCCATTTGATTTTCAACTCACACAAAACCAAACATAATTAACAAAATAAATTAAACATAATTACGCATATAAGTATATCGGTAGGTCCATTTGACCCAAAAGCAAACTCAAACAATCTGCAGTGAGCTGGTAAGCCAACCAATCGATATCTGCATCCGTTCTAAGCTCGTCCACCATTGAATTTTGCGTGGAATGAGAGGGTAAACAGATGCATGACACAAACATAGACGCGCACAAAGAAAATCGAAACCAAAATTCGGAAAACAAACACAGACGCTACGTACTCAGATCCGAAACACAATCGGATCTGCGGAGATTGAAATTTGAAGGGCGACTCAGAAAGGGGAAGAATGAGAGGCGGATAGGAGAAGGATCGAGATTATATAGGGGTATATGTGAATTAGGGTTTTACCCATCTGACAAACAGACTTGACATTTTGGTGGCGCGGCCCACTTCTTTTTATTTTGGGCTTTGAATGGAATTCTAGGGTTTTCTATGGGCTTTAATAAAATTATAATAGTCCAACTTTTGTTAGGCCCAGTTGTAAAGTTTAATGGACTGGCCCAGTAAAACAAATGCTTTGATTCAGATATTGTGTTTAAAGAGGAGTGTTTGGATTAGTAACGCATGCCTATGGGATCTTATTCCGTGGATCTAAAAATTATGAACGGTCAAGATCAACTCACACGCACGACTAATATCGCAAATCATTGATTTGATATTTGATTACCCATGGGGCCTAAAACTGGACTAAACCTCCGACCAATTACTTTAATATCATGCTAATTTAGTGGTCAAATGATGTTAATCTCTCTTCTTCTTGCTCTCTAATTTCTAAAAACCACAGGCTTCAATGCATAAAAAACAATTTTGCTTTTTACCTATATGTACATGCACTTCTTCCTCAGTCCTTCTTTCTTTTTTATTTCTTTGTTTTTTGTATTGGTTCTGTAAAAATCAATTGACCAAACAAAACACAGTCGTATCGTACGTGTTATTGATCTCCACCGCCATCTTCCCTCTTAAGATCAGCCGGAGGCAGAAAGCAATCCATGGACAACCCACAAATATTAAAATCCACTTCGTCAATCTTCCACGTCTCCTCAATCCTCCTCTTCTGGTTGTAAGCGTGTCCGTACCTGTACAGCAAAGCCGACGTTTTACCGCCGTGCGCTATGTTTATCCCGTCGACGTATCTGTAGTCCCCGATCACCGTCTCCATCGTCGTCTCCCAGAAAACGTCGTCGCTTCGCGACCTCATCTTGACCAGCTTGGTGTCCTCGAACTGGATTAGCAGTCCCGTCCGCTGGCTGAAGTAGCCCCAGATGGTGTGATGGACTATTTCAGTCTGGGGAGTGCTTTGGGATTGGAGTATTTCCGTGGGGGTTTCGAGCTTGAGGATGAAGCATTCTTCTTTGTTGATGTTTTTCTCTCCTGTGCACATTGCATCTAGGAACAAGTTGGCTGTGCTCCTGGGGTCCAAACCCTAATCAACAAATAATTGTTAATGTTGTTCCTTAATCACGATTTGAAGTTGACTGCGCTCCTTAACCACAGTTTTCATTAAACATTTGAGACTTTATTAAAAAGTTCAACATATATTTCTAAACAAAAGTACATTTAGAAAAGAGAGTTCCATATGAGTCCTAATATTCAAGATGATTGCGACCTAAAACTGTATATACCTGAAAGAAGCGACGGAGGGGTCTTGCGGGGCCTTTATTCGCGTGGCAAGGTTGTGAGCCAGATTGATTCCACACGACCTTGCCATCACTTCCAGCACTGACTTTCAAGCCGGAAACAACCAATTCCATGTACCACAAGTCGGGATTCTTTTGCCATAGGACAAACCCACCAACCTCGCTGTTGACTTTGCTCTGAACGTGTACACTATCATCACCTTGGCGCATTTCGGATCCCACCATCTTAACCTCCCCAACGGCGTACATGCTATTCACAGAGTTCAACGACGCCAGTCCCCCGGTTGCCGCCACATATTGTTGCACTATATATTTGGCCGTAGAAGCCTCTGCCCGCCATGCATGCATGCATGTATCAAACCACGTACGTACTTAATGAAAAGTGAAAGCTGAAAACTATATAATGTGGTAAATTAGGTTAATATTACATACAATGGAACAATCTTTAATGGGGCGGGAGAGTGCATTGTCACAATGAACCTGAAGGGGGATGAGAGGAGAACCAACAAGAGCTTGAGCAATGCCATAAACTCATTGTTTGATCCTGACGACGGATGAGATGATCTCGAATTTTTCTCGACGTGGGACTGATCTTTCATGAAAGAACAGAGATCGCCCACCGCAACACGGCGTTACTGCCCATGCTGGTGAACATTTCCTCCGGAATAGGCACCTCGAGGACGGTATCCAGGCCATCTTCTTTGTCTAGGTTAGGGCACAGCTTCCTCATAGAAATTAAATTAAATTAAATTGTGAAGTCAAAGTGTAATAATTAAATATTTGAGGAACATATGTGAGGGGATAGAGGAGGAGGTAAATTGATTAAATTAGAGAAAGAGGAAAAGCGAAACTTTTCCCCTTCTCACCCTAAAGGGACTTTAGGGTGCTTGAAAATTTGAAGAGACAAGGGGTGGTTTTTTGTGGAAATTTTAATTTTAATTAGTGGGAGATTAAGTTGGTATTGGAAATGAGAAGGTCATGTTGCCTAAGGTGCTCCTTGCGCGTAGGTCTCGCGTGGCTTGGAACCATTTAAGGGCACATCACATGCATATTTAGGACCCCTTAACCCCTACCACAACTAATTAACATTGATCATCAAGTCAAGGTAGCTAAGTTAATTTCAACTTGTTATGCATATTGTTATAGTGGTATGACAATATTTGTTATTCTTTGTTTGTGAATGATACGGTAATTACATTAACACTATTTAGATGAGGGAAACAAACTTGGAATTTGGATAAAAATCAGAATTTATAAATTGACATATACTAATTCCCTTATTTGGATTCATAAACATAGAAATTTAGAATTTCCGGATGGAAAAAAAACTTGGAACTTTGGAACCTCCAATTCCCAAGTTTAAATTCCATGTAAATAGGTGTCATTTCCCAATTTCTTTGATTGAGAGTTTATAAATAACAAATTATGTATTCAATTCCATTGTTCTTTTAGGTTAACCAAACAAGAAAATTCACAAATTCTAGAAAATAAAATCTCATCATTTTAAAATTTCTTAGAAATCTTAAAGTTCTTCATCTAATGTAACATCCCACATCGCCCAGGGGAGCGATCCTTAAATGTATATTCTCATCCCTACCTAGCACGAGGCCTTTTGGGAGCTCACTGGCTTTGGGTTCCATCGGAACTCCGAAGTTAAGTGAGTAGCGCGCGAGAGCATTCCCAGGATGGATGACCCATCGGGAAGTTCTCGGGTGAGTTCCCAGAAACAAAACCGTGAGGGCGTGGTCGGAGCCCAAAACGGACAATATCGTGCTACGGTAGTGGAGCAGGCCCGGGAAGTGATCCGTCCCGGGCCAGGATGTGACATCTAAACATACTGTAAGTTCATCTAAATTTTAATAAAAATAGATTCGAATTTGAGTGCAAATGATAGAACACACTGTTCTAACCAACATAGGCACACTGTTCTAACCAACATAGCTAAACCTATGTTGCAAAAATAATTTTAAAGGTTTTATTACAAATAGTCCATGAAATTGACCTCGCTCATCGTTTTGGTCCCCTAATTTGAAAATCAATCAATGTCATCCATAAATTTCCAGCACACATCAACTTGGTCCTGATCATCTAGGTTCGTCAAATTTTCTGTTAAGTTGTTAACGTGACACACTAAGAGCCCACACAACGTAGACAGTAAAAAACCATTTATTTGAAATAAAAAAAAATAGAAGCCAAATTAATTAATAAATAAACAGCAAACAAGAACAAAACATAATCTCAGGCGCATCTCCCCCGCCCCCGTCCGTCATCTGCCAACCCCACCCACCCAAGCTTAGCCACACCCCGGTGGCGGTTGTGTCGTTGACGCTGCCTGTGACTGGCCTGAATCATTGCAGTCGGCAAATATGGCAAAGGGGGAGCTTGACCAAATCGTAAGCCATAGAGAGAGAGAGAGAGAGAGAGAGATAAAATCTTAGCTGGAATTGGAAGATGAACAGGCACATTACTTCTCTCCCGGGCCCTGAAGGCCCAATTGGTATTTGCCTCCAGCCCGACCCATAGTGCAAAGTCAAGAAGTCAAGGCGCGTGTGTATTGTATAGTAGAAGAAACTTTCTACACTTTGTCTTGTAGTGATATTCTGCTCGTACACGTGTCATACAAAATTGTATCTATCTGGCTAGCAGCTCGTCGTCGATTTTGTCAACGGAATAGGAGCCTCTTTGATCATTTTTGTAAGAATTCGAATGATCAATTAATTGTTTTCGTTAATTGTACATCGTGCAGTTAAAAATCATCATACAACACGGTACTTCTTGACATTGTACTATTGATGCAATATCTATCAGCATTCTGTACTATCGATGCTATGTTGATACCATTATGTACGGTAATGAGATTGGTTTGGCCCTTTGTATGATCAAGTCTTTGCATGGAACTCGTCAACCTATCAGTACTGGATACAACCAACCACATCCTCCACCTGAATCATAAATGATATTCCTTAATTTGATTTTTAAGTAGCTTTCAACCTGATTAGTGATTTGATTATCAATTAATTAATCATAAACCAAGCCATTTATTTTACACACATTTTCGATCCATACAATCGCTAGACAGAATTCCATGCACACTTCATCCCTCTTAATTTAATCCATCCGATCCTACTGTCTCTGCATCTGCAGCCGGCCTCACCTCACTATATAATTCAACCCCAAATCCTCCATCTTAATCCCGCTTAATCCCGAGCTTAATTAATGGCTAAACGCTCCTTTAAGCTCAAATTCCCCCGGGTTATCCCGCTAATCCAATTCTGTCGCCCCAAACACAACTCCACTTTACCGGCAATTTACCGGCTGTCCCCCGTAAACGCCAAAGCCATAGACATCGGCTTCCCCGGCCTCACCCTCCCGGTCCCGCCACCGTCCGCACTGGAGCACCCCTCCGTAAAGTGCCACGTGTCATCCAAGCCCACCAAATCCCTCGGCTGCGGATCGTGCCGGTCCCGGTCATCCACGCTATTCATCTCCGACTGCAACGTGGAAATCACATCATCCGCAGATAATGACAAACTTAGTCATAATCATAATTATAATAACTATAATAATAATTTTATGTCGCCGATTTCGGAAACCGAGAATTATTACAGGAAGAAGCGGAACGAGGAGAAGAGGAAGACGAAGAGGAAGAAATCGAAATTGAAAGCGAAACCGGAGCTTCCGTTTATAAATGTTTCGTCGGGAAACTGGTTCAGCGGCGAATTCGACGGCGGCGAAGAGATCAGCGAAGAAAGCGGAACTCCGATCTACTCTTCCAGAAGCTTCTCGACCGAATTTTCGCTGGTGATGGACACCATAGGCCAGAAGATCTCGGTACCGCACAAGCAGAGCAGCAAGAAGAGACCTAACAGTGGCGATTACGATAAGGTTCGTAGATCGAATTCAGATTCGGATTCGAAGAAATCGGTGGGGACGACGGGCGGCGAGTTCGGAAAGATAAAGACGGTGCTGCGGCCGATGAGGGCGTGCTGGGGGGAAGAGGGGAGGGTGAGGGAGAGCGTGGCGGTGGTGAAGAAGTCGGAGGATCCCTACGAGGACTTTCGGAGGTCGATGATGGAGATGATCATGGAAAAACAGATATTCGAGGCCAAGGAGTTGGAAGAGCTCCTCCATTGTTTCTTGACTTTGAATTCCCGCCATTACCAGGACGTTATTGTGGAGGCGTTTTCTGAGATTTGGGAGCTCTTGTTTTACGACCCTTCGGACCAAGAGGGAAATTTTAGTTAAACTGATACTGTCGTTTTTGCCCCTTATTGTTTTACTAAATTACTAATGTAAAAATATTATAGTTTAAATACGTGATCTTCGTAACACTACTCATAAATATATGTTGTCAAGTTTTCACCAGTAATAAAAAATTCTAATCGTTGAAATGCATGTACAAAAATTCACTTTGGATTTTACTCTCCAGAGCAAAAATATCAAACAATTTGAATCGCTCAAATAAAATTTGACAATCCTCGTTAACTCATTTTCTTGATTCACACTAGTAATAAAAAATTCTAATTGTTGAAAATTTGAAATGCATGTACAAAAATTCACTTCGGATTTTACTCTCCAAAACAAAAATATCAAGCAATTTGAATTGCTCAAACGAAATTCGACAATCCTCGTTAACCCATTTTCTTGATTCACCTCATACAAACCAAAGACACCAATTTCTCTTCCACACAAATCAAGAATCTGGATTTCCTGATGGTACGGAAAGGATCCAGGTTAAATTAAGGTGCAAGAAAAAACATGGTTTTCAAGTTATTTAACCAGAAAATCCAGATTTTGATCCGAAAATGTTGCCAAGTCATTCTCAAAAAACTTGACATGGCAGAGCTTTTCCCCAGCTTCATCAGCAAACACAATCTTCTTCCCCTCCTTGTCCTTGTTTGCAACATTTTCAGAAGCATCGGCGTCGATATCAGCCATTTTCTGCAATGGATAAACAGAAATGATCAAATCCATGCCTCAAAACAAGACCGAGGAAGAAAATAGAATTGTTATTAGCACGTCGAAATAGTCATCGTGCACTTCTCTATCTTATTTCACATAACTGAAGAATGCAGGATGATTATTTTAGACTTGCGATAACAGAATCCGGATAAATGAAAGGAAATAGGGTGAGAAGCAAACCATGATTTTACAAAACCGGTTGCAGTCCCTTGACATCATGGAAAGTAACCTTTTCGCAGATGCTTCGACTCTAGTTACGTTCTTAATAGCCATCCGCACCTGCATTTTTTCATTGGAAGCACACAGTTGAGCACACAATTATTCTTGCACATTCACACAGAAAAGGGGTTGTGTGAGAAAACGCATCTGAAAAAAGTATATAATGGTACCTCGTTTGCATTATATTTCAAGGTTGTAGCATGATAGGCCTCGGGCAGTAATCTTTCTTCTGCTATCTCCTTCATGGTCTGTAACTCATTCGTGAGTTTCGTTGCAAGGGATTCAATGTCCTGCATCTGGCGTTGCGAGAATGCAATGGCACTCTCCGAACAGGTTCGGATTGAAGTACACCCGGTGGTAAAACGCGGTGGTGTTGCAGAAACTTTGGAAGCTTTAGGGATGCCTTTAGGGTGGGAATTAATCTTCTCGTTCTTCGGATTCAGGTTGTTTTGCACTTTGATAGACAATTTCGCTCTCTTGATCTGATCAGGCCCTTGAGCTCCGCCAATCATCGTCTCGGTTTGTTTTCCAAAACATAGATTCGCCTTACAACCTGATATAATCAGAAAACCATGAAAGTCAAGTACATGGTGAATGAGAAGAGAGGAATAGCAATTTGTGCAATTTGCAAATGGAGTAATGAACAGAAAAACGGAATTTAATTTTAAGTACCCAAACAATTTCTTGGCATTTCGTAATGAATTTGTTATGAAAATGCAAAAGCAATTGAAAGCTTAAATATTAAGAAAAATTGAACAAAATTTTGTTTCCAAAAATTGAGCAAAATTTTGTTTCTGATAGAAGAGTAACGAAAAATCAGTTAAACCAACATAGAAAATTTTGTTTTGAGGTGTTGTACGAGAAACCAAACCTAACAGCTACACAGTTGGCCTGAAAAGGAAACAGTTACACAGCAAAACATACAAGTTACAGTACAATAAACACCAACAGGCAACAGCCATAAGTCACAAAAGAATGGTTTAAGCCATCTAAGTAAATCCTCCCCTAATGTTGTCAAAACTCCTATTTTCTGTCCAGCCGCACAACCCAATTCTGGATACCGAAAACTCTAGCAATTTAATTAAAACAGACAGAAAGAAATTTGTAGTATTCCAGAATAACACTCAGTTGTGTACTTGGGCCACAAGAATTGATTAAGCATTGTACATGTCAACGGACTACATAACACCGCAGTATAGAGAACATCAAAACACAGCGGAGATCCATTATCAGCTCATCAATAGGTTCTCATGGCCAATAAAATATGCGCTTAGTACTTTTATGGTTAATAATGTCAGATTTCTACTGTACTTTCAAGAATGAAACTTAAATTTTACTGCATCATTGTAGCAGCTAGCTGACAGAGTATGCTACGAGCCTACAATCCTAATCATTTGAATAGAACAACAGGCTTTGTATACTTACTGGGACGTTCTTCACTGTGTAACTCAATTGACTTCATGGCCTTACACAGTTTTTCTTGGGAAGTTGGTGAAATGACCTGCACATGAAAACAGTTTATGAGAAACAAACTCCACTCTATGATAAAGCAAAAAAAATAAAAAAACGAATAGCTGTTACATACCTTCCTGGTCGGAAAGAGCCTTTGAGGAGGACGCTGCTGGTTTAAACTAGGACTCCCACCACTCACTAGTGTTGTAAGCTCGTCAGCAGCATCAGAAGAAGATATCCCTGGAGACAAGTTTCTTTCTGCACCAGCACAGGCAAACTTGGGGGATTGCTTCCTCTCCTCAGCCACGGGGGAATCATCTGCAACAGAAACCATACCGCTACCAGAGCCCGAGTCACAATCACTAGCAGAGCCAGCACTGGATTCAACATTCCAAGGTGAATCATCATTCATGTCAGGCTCAGACAGACGTGAATCAGTTCCGTTAACAGGTCCCATGCACTGAAAGAGATCATTACCCACCACCTCGGATATTCGAATCTGGGTCTCGCTGTTAGTCTGACATAACCTTTCATCCTCAGAGGAGGTAGTGTCTTGCATATCAAAATTTTGATCTTGTGCCGAACATATTGCTTCAATGAAGTTGTCAGGGTGAACCGAATTCGTGATATGTCCTTCAACGTTATATTCTAATAGTGGCAAATCCAAGCACTCGTAACTATTGAACTCTGAATCATCAACCTCAACAATTTCCCATCCTGAGGTCGTTACAATCTGAATAGGTGTGGGATCTGCACATTCCATATCTTCGTAGCAGACTTCATTTACAACACAAATCTGATTTTCATTTGTTTCGTAAATTGGCAACTCGGTCTTGAAAACACAATCAGCAGCTATCGCAGGAGATTCATCAGGCACCACTCTGCAAGAACCTTCCTGATTATCACAGGACAAAGAGGTATCACCAGCAGCAGGAATTGTGTTTTGGATATCTGAAAACTCAGTTTCAGGAACCTCTACTTTAATGTTCAGACCAGATTCCGGCTCAATTGGGATGTGTTCTGATGTGATAGTCGATATGGAAGTTTGAGACATTGAAAAGAAACCGTTTTTCTTACGCTTACTCTTAATATTGGCCTTTGCCTTCTTTGAGAGTTTCCACTTACTAAGAGGCTCTATGAGATCAAAATCCTCTTCATCAGTTTGCAACTTGGAACACTCATGCTTTACAGGTGAGCACGTTTCTATTTTTTTCAAATCAACAGATGTTGAACGTTTTCTTTTCTTGTCCTTGCATGTCTCTTTAATCTGCTTCAGTGTAATATTACCAAAACCATCCAAATCATTATTTCTTCCGGCATTGCCATCACTGCTATCAAAATCGTAAACTTCAGGTTCAGTTTTGACTGTCACATTCCACACAGTACTCCTACTTGGACTTTCACCCATGACCCTATCTCTGTTGACAAGTGATCCCCTGAACTTATCTTTTGGCGGAATTCTTGGGAATGAATCACCATTTTTGGCATCTAATCTTTCATGTATGTCTTTCAACTCCTTGAATCTGAGTACTGGCCGTCCGCGAGCCACATTCAGAGTCTTTACCACTAAACCACCTTCCAGAGCCTGGATAAAGTGCAAATGATTGCAACTTCTCAACTCCATCACATATAAAACTCAGGTTCTACTCGTTAGTACACGAACAATCATTAAAATGCACAAGATCCTTTCCCTGCAACGGAAATCAACCTTACTTATAAAACTAAACAAATTGTTCTCAACTAATTCTTAGTTATTAAACACAACACAACAGCCTCAAATTTCAGAAAATGTTAGACACATATTAATCTTTGAAACAAAATCAAAGCACTAAATTACACTAATGACAAAAAATTCAAAGTACTGACCATTCCTAAAAGATTAGATCAATCAATTACATTAACTCCATTAAAAACATTAAGAAAATGACTAATAAGTTTTCAGATTGAGCAGCTGATAGCAACAATTAAAAGAAAATAAACCCTCAAAATATGATAAACAAAAAGAATACAGGGATAAGAGAAACTGTACCAGATTACGACCACGAGGAGCACCACTGCAATTTGGATTCGCTCCAGTGAATTGAATCGGAGACACCTGCGGGAAACAGAAGCTTTCAGGCCATCGTAACATTACACAGAGTAATTTAAACAATCATTTCAAACAAATAGATCCAGCATAAAAGTCAGATCCCAGATTGAAACCCTAATCAGTAATCAATTAGGTCACATACAATTAAAATTTAATCTCTCACAATTGCAAACGTTCGGTTGCTTCAAAGAGCAATAGAACCTTCCACGAACTTCCTCTCTCTGTGATTCCCGAAACAGCGGCGAGATGATTGGGGGATATATCCGGATCGGAGAGACGGAGAGGGCGTAAACGAAGACCTAGAGAGAGAGAGAGAGAGAGAGAGAGAGAGAGAGAGCTGAAAATGTTGAAGCTATTGGACTGAATCGGAAGGGACTGTTTGGAGAGACGGAAAGTTTGAGATTTGAGATGGTAGGGCTAGTGGCAGTGGCAAATGGGCTTTTTAGCTCGCGGGAAAAGAGGGATTTTCAGATTGTAGAGAACGCGCCAAATTGTGTTTGGCGGGAACTCAAATGATCCGTCCTCCATTGAATATTCGGGTGGGAATTGTAGAGAGCGCGCCAGATTCTACATATCTCGCCGTCCATCCGTCTCTTTCTCTTTATCCCTTGAAAGTCACTTCGATTAAAAAGGGCGGAGGCCCGATGGGCCGTTTAGAGCCCAGTTTTACTTT